CCAGATGATTATTTGCAGGGCGGGTGAGGAGGGAGGCAGCTTCGAGGGAGGGAGCAAGCAAGGAAGCCTCCCTGCTGTCTGTAAAGATATTTTCAGAAGCAGCAAGGCTGAGAATCGGGCAGCTGGGGCAACCTCGCTGGAAGCAGTTTTCCCCAGCCCACCCACTGTGGAAAGCACCATGGAGTGAAGCGCAAGGAAGAGGATGGAGGAATACATCTTGACAAATGGTGAAGGAAGATAGGAAGCTGCCTTATCATGAGTCAGACCAGCGGTCCATCTAGCTCAGTATTGTCTACCCTGACAGACAGAGGCTCTCTGGGATTTCAGGAAGATTTCTCTTCTGATCCAACCAGGAGATGTCAGGGATTGAATCTGGACCTTCTGCATGCAAAGCAGAGGCATTTTGGGAGTTGCAGGTGGCGCTGTGGGTTAAACCACAGAGCCTAGGACTTGCCAATCAGAAGGTCGGCGGTTCGAATCCCCGCGACAGGGTGAGCTCCTGTCGCTCGGTCCCAGCTCCTGCCAACCCAGCAGTTCGAAAGCACGTCAAAGTGCAAGTAGAGAAATAGGTACCGCTCTGGCGGGAAGGTAAACGCTGTATCCGTGCGCTGCTCCAATTCGCCAGAAGCGGCTTAGTCATGCTGGCCACATGACCCGGAAGCTGTACGCCGGCTCCCTCGGCCAATAAAGCGAGATGAGCGCCGCAACCCGAGAGTCGGTCACGACTGGACCTAATGGTCACGGGTCCCTTTACCTTTACCATCTGGAGGGCCAGTTAGCTACCCCTTCCTTAGATGCGGTGGGAAAATTTGACACAACTGTGGGCAGCTCCACACAGATACTTAAAACATGACTTACACCTCCAAGAATCCTGGAAACTGTAGTTAGTTAAGAAGACTGTGATTTGTAAGTGTGGATGGGGAAACTAGTTCCCATGATGTGCTTTGCATGTATCCTGCTGGTCTGCCCTGTTTTACCTTTGAAGTTTATGGTGAAAAATTAAAAAGGTAAAAGGTAAAGGACCGCTGGACAGTTAGGTCCAGTCAAAGGTGACTATGGGGTTGCAGTGCTCATCTCACTTTTCAAGCCAAGGGAGCTGGTGTTTGTCCACAGACCGTTTTCTCGGTCCTGTGGCCAGCATGACTAAACAGCTTCTGGCGCAACAGGACACTGTGACAGAAGCCAGAGCACACGGAAACGCCATTTACCTTCCCACCACATTGGTACCTATTTATCTACTTGCACTAGCATGCTTCAAACTGCTAGGTTGGCAGAAACTGGGGCAGAACAATGGGATCTCACTCCATCAAGGTGATTCGAACCGCTGACCTTCCAGTTGGCAAGCCTAAGAGGCTCAGTGGTTTAGACAGTTGTGGCTCCCCATCAGTGTCAGGAAAGGAACTCCTGTCCTGGTATGAACCTACCTGGACCCTCAGATGTTCTTTCGAGGTCCATCTATAGGCCTCCCCTCCAAAGGAGACTTGGTGGCTGGTGGCAATGGAAAGGGCCTTTTCAGTTGTGGCTCCTCATCTGTGGAATGCTCTCCCAAGGGATGTCTGCCTGGTGCCTTCACTGTCATCTTTTGGGCACCTGATAAGACTTACCTTTCATCCCCTGGCTTTGGGTGGACTGAGCCAATTTTGTTCTGCTGTTAGCGTGCTATTGAAGGAGTGTGTGAATGTGAATTGTATGTCCTTGTAGGACAATGCTAACGTTTCCTTTTGGTTTTTAATGGCACAATGTATGTTTTTAAGTGACAGTCACTCAGAGAACCAGCAACCAATGAATCTAATCATGAATAATTCTCTTCCCTCAACACTGGAAAGCGACACTGATTGGGATGTGGCGTCTGAAAACTACAAATCCGATGAAGCAGGGAGGGTCAGGAAGGTGACACTTCCCTTCTTTAAGCTTACTATTATCATTACAGGGGTACCTCGGGTTACATACGCTTCAGGTTACATACGCTTCAGGTTACAGACTCTGCTAACCCAGAAATAGTACCTTGGGTTAAGAACTTTGCTTCAGGATGAGAACAGAAATTGTGTTCTGGCAGCGCGGCGGCAGCAGGAGGCCCCATTAGCTAAAGTGGTGCTTCAGGTTAAGAACAGTTTCAGGTTAAGAACGGACCTCCAGAACAAATTAAGTTCTTAACCCGAGGTACCACTGTATTACTATTAGGAGAACGGTGGGGTTTTTTTGGGGGGGGGACACCCACCTGGGATTTTGCAAGAATGGCTGTAAAATGCTCACAATTTCCCGGAGTAATTTATTATTATTATTATTATTATTATTATTATTATTATTATTATTATTGCTTCCGTTTGCATCCCATCTTTCCTCCAGGGAGCTCAATATGGTCTCCAAAAGCAATTATTCTGAAACCAACCCCTCTGCAAGGTGCTAGACCTCAGGAGGCCATGGAGAAGCAGCAGAAAAACAAGTTCGGGCTCCAAATAATACTGTGGATGAGACCCTCCTCACTACAAAGGGAAGCAAAGTATTTGTTCATCTATCAGCAGCAGCCCAGTCACAGAAGGCTGGGGAGAGAGGGTAGTCTTTGCAAGGGCTTAGATGTCCAGCATCACTCAGAACACAAAGGAATCTCAAACGGCTTGTGCCCTGTGCCAGGAAAGAGCCAGCAATCTCCTGTCTGATGGCAAGCCCAGTGTGTTTTCTGTGCCAGCTGTCCATCTGATAGCAAGCCAGGTGTGCTGCCTGTTAAGACCAGCCAGCTGGAAGCTGCATCAAAAGCAAGGCGCTACCTGTAATCCGGTGCAGAAGGCGCAGCTATTAGTTTGCTTGAGAGCTGCAGACCGCTGTGATGTGTGGCAGACAGGTCCTGCATGGGATACGGCAAGAGCTTCCGCTATCTTGCTGTCCCAGGAGCACAAGGAACAAAGGAGACCTTGCTCTTAACATATGGTGCTGTACCTGAGCCAGGATCTGCAGAAAGCAAAGACCTCCAGCCGCTGCTAAAAAATATTCTACTACAAGAGAGTCCTAGCAAAGGGGGAGTGCTGGGAAGAGCCTTAAAACGCTCCAGACCTTATTGGCAGGAACGAATCATGACGCTGTGAAAGATCTGTAAAGGACTAGGGCATAAGGTCTTTGCAGGAAGGGGGATTGCTTTGGGGCCTAACATCGCTCTAAAGTCAGGGATGTGTAAAACTCTGGTCCTCCAGATATTGCAGGGACTCCAACTCCCATCAGCGCCAGCCAGCATGACCAATGGTCAGGGATGATGGCAGCTGGAGTCTAACATCTGGAAGGCCACAGGTTCTTAAGTAATCAGCATGGGGAACTGGCTATTGGTCCCAGGTCTATGTTCACAAGAGCAGTTTGGTAACAATATGGAACAGTGCGAAAGCTAAGTCCGGTCTCTGTTCTCACCAACAGCAGATAAGGCAATGAAACATGAGTCCTGGACTGTGCCATTTCATACCACTAGCAGGGGCGTTGAATGTTCCTTGCACACTTTTTTTTTTAAAAAAGAAAACCATATTAAGGAGAAGGTAAGCCTACAGCTCTTCTCTGATACCATATTTTCAATGTGCATAGTGTGTCTCTGTGCTCGTTATCCGCAAGGGACATCCAGTCCTGCAATCCTGTATTTTCAGGCAGAATGCAATCTAGGACAGCTTTACGACCACAGCTACTGCTTGTGCAAAAGGGAAAACCCACAAAAACGCCTGTTGCAAATTGCACAAGTAGCCCAGAACACTCTTTGTCCATGCACGTTCAAGGAAAATTTAAGGTGCGCAAATTAGCTGGTCACAGATATGGCTGGCCACGCCAGCAATTTCCTCAGCTATTAACGTCACGGAAATCGCTTCTAGATGCACCCATGAGCTATCGGTTCATGCTACATCTCCCTGTGCAAGAACATTCCCGATGAGATTTTGGATTGCTTACATGTAGAGGAAAAATGGTACAGGAACCAGTTGTGGCTTCGCACACTAATCAAGTGTCCAAACCCTTTTGCAATAATAAATCAGAGCTTAGTCCTAACTCACCCTTGTAATTAGATAGGAAATCTGTATTTAGGTCTCTAAGGCAGGGATCAGCAACCTATGGGCCGCAGGTGCACCCACTCCACCAAATCCCACTGTTCAATCCCACCTTGTCATGCAACTTACCTGTAGGTTTTCCGAAAGAAAAGGGTCAATGGGGAAAGAAAAGGCCTTGGCGGGTGGATATAACCTACAGGGCAGTATGTTGCCGACCTCTTCTCTCTTTTCCCAGGCGCGCAGCCTGGGAGTCATTTTGGACTCACAGCTGCCCATGGAGGCGCAGGTCAATTCTGTGTCCAGGGCAGCTGTCTACCAGCTCCATCTGGTACGCAGGCTGAGACCCTACCTGCCCGTGGACTGTCTTGCCAGAGTGGTGTATGCTCTAGTTATCTCCTGCTTGGACTACTGCAATGCGCTCTATGTGGGGCTACCGTTGAAGGTGACCCCAGAAACTACAACTAATCCAGAATGCGGCAGCTAGATTGGTGACTGGGAGTGGCCGCAGAGACCACATAACACCAGTCCTGAAAGACCTACATTGGCTCCCAGTACGTTTCTGAGCACAATGGTGCTGACCATTAAAGCCCTCTACGGCCTCTTCCCAGTATACCTGAAGGAGCGTCTCCACCCCCATTGTTCTGCCCGGACACTGAGGTCCAGCTCTGAGGGCCTTCTTGCGGTTCCCTCACTGCGAGATTACAGGGAACCAGGCAGAGTAGGGCCTTCTCAGTAGTGGTGCCCTCCCATCAGATGCTAAGTTTTTAATGTTTGATGTTTTATTGTGTTTTTAATATTCCCTTGGGAGCCGCCCAGAGTGGCTGAGGAAACCCAGCCAGATGGATGGGGTATAAATAATAAATTATCACCAACATCATCTAGGGTCAACCTCTTCTCTATGGTCAAAACAAACTAAACGGCCAGCATAGGCAGTTTATCTTTTGGGAAGGTTTCCCCTTTTCTTACTTCAGAAGAAGAATCCTAAAGCAGCCCCTTTCGATCAAATGAAGAACACAGAAGTCCTCTCATCACCAGTAGAATTGTGTATTCTTGGGTTGTGCAATTTGGCAATAAATAAAGTTGCTACATTAGGTTCAGAATCATGGCCTCCCCACTCACAAGTGACAGTCCAGAGTACACATTCTAGAGCACCATTCCTGCCCCTGGTGCCTTCCAGATGTTTTGAACCACAACTCCCATTGTCCCTCACCACTAGCCGTGATAGAGTTAAAAAAAAAAGACCACCTGGAGGCACCAGGTTGGGGAAAGCTGTTCTAGAGTTTGCACCTTCATGTACAGCCTGCGTCAAAGTCCTTGGGCCAATACTGGTCATCCATGTAGCAAACACTCTCCCAGCTGCTATCTGGAGGGCTGTTTGGAAGGCTTGGCGGGAGGCTACTGGCCAGTGTCTGTTCCCATTGTACCTCCACCAATCTGTAAAGCTCCATAGACGTCTGAGCATCTTCTACTGATGAATGTCCATTTCGGCTAACCTAACAGATGGGAAAGGAGAAAAACAACAACCAAACTGTGTGTAAGGTTCTAGTCCTCAAGATGTGCCATCTAGTAGCATTGACCAAAGGCAACCACTCCTACCAACTTTTTATAAAGTATATATTTGGAGTGAACAATCCTAAGTTTTCCTATTTAAGAAGTACATCATAGCCAGTCCAATAGCACTGAATTCTACTACTAGGGGCTCTCATCCCTGCTCACACCGCCAACCTCAATCCCTCCATTTACCACTTCATCCAACATCCCCGATATCCTCCCAGCTCCTTCAACCCCTCCACCACATCCTCACAGCCCCTCAGTGTTCCTCCATTCCTGCTTTACTTAAACCTATGATGTTGTTCAAACATCTCAAAACCCAACTTCTCCTTTGCTCTCCTCCTTTGCCCTGTCTTCATGCAAATCCAGGACTGCGATGCGGCACTACAAATCCTCCAACAGGGGGCTGCGTGATGACAGCCTTGCATTTTTATGTATATAGGAAGATAACCCATGATAGCCGAAATGAACCTTTGTGCTCAACGGCAGTACAACTCTTATCTCTGAATCCTATCGGGATTGCCTAACAAGTTAATTTATTTAACAATTTATTTTCCGCCCTTCATCAGAGGACCAACACGGAGGTTTATAAATATAAAAATACATTAACATAGTGACAAGCAAAATAATACCACCCCCCCACCCCACCCCCGGAGTTTAAAAAGCCATGGATTGTTTGATTTTCCAAAGGCCTGGTAGAAGAGGAATGATTTTTGTCTGGCACTTAAAAATATGTAATGAAGGGCCCAGGTGAATCTCCCTGGGGAGAGCATTCCACAGTTAGAGAATTAGGGGATAAGATTGAACCCTGAGGAACCCCACATTGAAGGCAGGCTCCACAGGACCAAACAGACTCCCCAAACATGACACCCCCCTGGAGATGACCATCCATGTTGGACCGGAGGCACTGCAAAGCACTGCTGCCCACCCCAATTCAGACAGCCGCTCCAGGAGGAAACCATGGCTGATGGCACGGAATGCTGCTGAGAGGTTAAAGAGAATTAACAGAGACATGTTTTCCCTGTCTCTCTCCTGACAGGAGACATCATACAGGTCAACCAAAGCACTTTCTGTGCCAAAACTGGACCTAAAGCCCGACTGAAATGGATCTCGAAAACAAAGTTTCCTCCAAGAGTACTTGGATCTGGAACTGAGAGAGGAAGGCATTTCCTTAAATTACCTGAATATTCTTGTGTAGCAGCTCACTAGCCAGGCTCTTGAGAGAGACGCTGGCTTTCATAGGGAGCCCCATCTTCTTCCTCAGCAGGGGGCTCCGACTCGTATCCCGTGTCCAGGCATGGGGGTGAAAATATTTCAAGGCTCGGAAGTCGTTGTGGATGGCATGCCCCACCACTATCTTGTCCCTCACGATCTGTAGGATCTGCAAGAATTAAGAGGCCATTTAGCCACTCGCCGTCACAAACAGAGGGCCTTAGGAAGATGGTGAGGATAGGCTGTGCTCTGCGTTTTTAAAGGACTGAACATAGGTGGGTCAGAAATATTTTAAAACTGTTTCAAACCATGTTGTGTAAAGTGACTGGATTTGAGGGGATATTTGCTTGGAATCCTGGGGATTTGTGAGCTACAGCAGTTAGTGGGTCTGGTGCAGAGGCTGAACGGGATTCTTTAGCCTGGGACTAGGTCTAGGAGAAAAGATTCGATTTGAAGATTTCTATGTGAAAAGAAGAATAAATACAGTGGTACCTCGGGTCAAGTACTTAATTCGTTCCAGAGGTCTGTTCTTAACCTGAAACTGTTCTTAACCTGAAGCACCACTTTAGCTAATGGGGCCTCCTGATGCCGCCGCGCCGCCAGAGCATGATTTCTGTTCTCATCCTGAAGCAAAGTTCTTAACCTGAAGCACTATTCCTAGGTTAGCAGAGTCTGTAACCTGAAGTGTATGTAACCTGACGCGTATGTAACCCGAGGTAGCACTGTACTGTAAAAAGAAGCTTGTATCAAAAGTACAACAAACCTATCTATTGATTTTTCTCCTGTGAATAAGAGAGCTGTTAAATTATTCATCCTGGCCCATTTCCTATGGGAGTCTGGACACCCGCTACAAAGCGAATTGTGATAGTGAGACTATGGCAATACAAATTGACAGAAAAAATAAAGAGATCCAGTATGGTGTAATGGTCAGAGTGATGGACTAGGACCTGGGAGACCAGGGTTCAAAACCCCGCTTAGCCATGATGGGTCAGTGAGTAGGTCAGTCCCTCCTTCTCAACCTAACCTGCCTCACAGAGTTGTTGTGACGATGAAATGGCAGAGAGAACTATGTACACTGCCTTAAGCTCCTTGGAGGAAAGATGGACTATAAATGTAAAAATAACAGTAATATGAAAATCTGTACAGCTATACACAAGGAGAAGGTTCCTATTCTGTGGAATAGCATTCCTGTTGAGATACTAAAAGGCACCCCCTATCTGCACTTTCCGGAAGGAACCAAACTTTCCAATGGGTTTTTCATTTTTCTGTTTTCATTTATCTTACACGTAAAGCATGTTGAAACGTTGTTTTAGAAGACGATTAATAAAGGATGATAATAATAATACAGTCGTACCTTGGAAGTCAAACGAAATCCGTTCCAGAAGTCCGTTAAGACTTCCAAAATGTTTGAAAACCAAAGCGTGGCTTCTGATTGGCTACAGGAAGCCCTGTTGGGCGTTGGCTTCCAAAAATAGTTCACAAACTGGAACACTCACTTCTGGGTTTGCGACGTTCGGGAACTAAGCTGTTTGACTTCCAAGGTATGATTGTATTCCTGATGGCTCTGTACAAAAAGTGCAAAACCTTTTGGACTCAAAAGCTGTGCAAATTACAAAGCACAAGGTACACCACAACCCATTAGCGATGCTGTTGGGTTATATCAATGGGACACAACTATAAGAAAATTAAACCCTGATCTTCTAATAGTGGCATGCCCAGCCATAGCACACCGGAGGGGGGGACACACGTGTTAAAACATCAACAGAAAGGAAGTGGATAAGTTCAGCCAGCAAATACAAACCCAGGAATGGAGACAAGAGAACAGAGCATTTTGCAACAGACAGGTAGCCAGCAATTATTCACCTGGAACCGACCCCTGTGAAATGGGTTAAGCCAATCAAATGCAACATTAAAAGGCTTGTATTCAGAGACTTGAAACGAACTGGTAATGATGTACTAATTAACCTAGGCGCCGTTAGCCTTCAAAGAACGAGCGACAAGGGTGCGGGGAGCATTGTGAGCTTTTAAATTTTCTCGATTGTAATTTTGAAGGACGCAATAAAGTAGGAAGGTTAAAATGTATCACTCTCTTTAATAGCAAACTCAGGGGCTGAGTGCCAAGAGAAGTGGAGCCAAATTAGGGTGACCGACAAAAAAATCCAGAGGTGTCAGTGTTGCGGGAAAACCAAAGGTTTGAAGTAGTTGCAAAAGGTGCAATTGGGCAAGAGCCCGCAAGATTATTGCAGATCACACACTGGAGTCCCGGTCCAAACACCCCATGTCATTTTGGAGGGTCTCTTGAATGTCAGGTGCAGGTGTGTGTATGTTGGGAATAAGGGATGAAGTGGGAGGTGGGCCCCACCTGCACGATACATTGAAAGCAGTATCGTACCAATGTTTAAAGAGTCCAGGAATTACAGTTTAAGGGTGCACACAGAAGGTGCCTGCAGCTCCAGGTAGGGCTGGAAATGCCCCTTGCCTAAAACCCTCTGCCAACCAGTGCAGACAATACTGAGCTAGATGGACCGACAGTCCAACTCATTTTTCAGCAGCTTCCTAAAACCGGCTTGTGCTTTTCCGAATCCTCCTAGGCTACTGCAAGCTGGCGGCCATGTTCGTTCTTCTTCTTAAATGTACAGTGCAGTATCTAAGGAATACAGGTGCTTATTAGAAGTGATAACATTATTTATTTAGTTGCATTTATATCTCCCTGTTTCCTCCTAGGAGCTCAAGCTGGCATACATGGTTCCCTCCTCGGCCCAGTATACCTGAAGGAGCGTTTCCACCCCCATCGTTCAGCCTGGACACTGAGGTCCAGCTCCGAGGGCCTTCTGGCGGTTCCTTCAATGCGAGAAGTGAGGTTACAGGGAACCAGGCAGAGGGCCTTCTCAGTAGTGGCACCCGCCCTGTGGAACACCCTCCCATCAGATGTCAAAGAAATAAACAACTATCAGACTTTTAGAAGACATCTGAAGGCAGCCCTGTTTAGGGAAGTTCTTAATGTTTGATGTTCGCTTTATTATTATTATTAATAATATTCTGTTGGGAGCCACCCAGAGTGTCTGGGGAAACCCAGCCAGATGGACGGGGTATAAACAATAAATTATTATTATTATTATTAATATCTCATTTAATCCCTACAACAACCCTGCGAGGTAAATTAGGCTGAGGGGCAGTGCCTGGCTCAAGACCACCCAGTAAACTTCACAGCCAAGCAGGGATTTGACCCCTGGATTCCTAGGTCTTAGTCCAACACTCTAACCACTATACCACACTGGCTCTCAATTTCTCATTTTTCAAATCTTGGAAGTTCAGTTCTCTGCATTTTCCACATCAGTTTGCAATTTTTGTCAAAGAAGCAGCAGCAGCAGCCTTCATGGAATTTCATGGATTTGACCCCCGTCTCCTGGGTCCTAGTCTGACCCTCTCACCACTAGACCACACTGGTTCTGCAGCAAGCATCTAATTCTCCAGCTGCATGGATTCCAATCCTCAACCCCTCTTCTCCCTCCTTTGCTTACCTCGCTCCGTGCAACCTTAAAAGGAGTGGCCTTTTCCATGTGTCGCCGGGTGATCCCGCTCCACCGAGTCCTGTAATCGACAATCGGGAGCTCCGGCCGGACGTATTTGTCGTAGATGACGTCCCCGTCGTAGTTCACAACTGTGCACCGCGCCAACTCGCTGGTCCTCCCAGCGGGGCCCGTGCCCACCATTTCGCAGTCAAGCGCCACACATTTCCTGGGCGTCGCTCGGGATAAGGAACCGGTGACCTTTCCGCCAGGGGAGGCTACTTGATCCTTGAGACTTTGGGAAGATGTCGGCCATCTGCCTGGGTTCACTGAAGCGCCTGGTGCAACCGGACAGAGCAGGCAAGGCTCCCTAGGAGCCCCTGCCATATCCTCCTGGAACAACTGGCCGCAAGGGCTGACTTCACAGCGCAAGGATCTCAGTGCACCACCCATTTCTGAGCTGCCTGAAGTCGTCGGCAGGGCTTTCCCCTGCAGCCCTCTCTGCTCCAATGCCCTCCGCGCCATAAACCGCTGGTATCGGCGGCTCTTCTTTTTCTTCTGGCCAGAGGTTTCAGCATCCTGGGAACCTTTGTCGTGGCCCGGATCCCACTTAGGGCAGAGGCACCCAAGGTTCTGCTCTTCATCCATCCCCAAGTTACCCACCTGGACCACTTGCACCGGAGTTACCCCACCTGGCGAGCAGTTGGTGGTAGACGGCATCCTGACGAAATCAGAAACCCCAACTAAAGAATCATGGCAAGAAAAATTGATGGACTATGCAGAATTGGCAAAACTGACATACAAGCTATGGGACAAGGATAACTGTGACTTTATAAAGATTAAATGGGAACGCTTTACAAAGTATTTGAAGACGCAACAAAGCGAACTGGACTCCTTGGCGGGTTTTGAATAAACATTCACAAACTTTTTATTGATAATAATCAGCTAAATAGTTTGAGGATCTATACAGCTGTGTAACATGCAGAAAACAGCATTTTTAGAGAAATCAAAGACTGGAACTGAGGGAAGTTGGGGGGTGGGTTCTGTGGGGGGAGGGAGGAAAAATGGGGGAGAATAAGGATATGTTTCTGGATAATATGTTTTGTTTTAATTTTGAATAAAAAGTTATTTAAAAAAAGAAGAAGAAGAAGATGCGGGAGACTTAGGGAACGGGAGGTTGGGTGGAAAGGCTGACCCAAACACGAGAAGGCAGAGAGGGGCATGGTAAGGAGAGCAAATAAGGCGCTCTCTCCTTGTGGGATGGTGATATCCCGCCTCTCCACTCAGGAACAGGGAAAGCAGGGTGGATAAAAATCACAAATTTTTTTAATCAGATTTTTTAAAATTTAAATTGGATTTTTAAAATAGAATGCTTTTGGAGGAAAAATCTTTCTAAAGATAGTTTTCTATTTAAGTTACATTATAGTCCAAAGGCTATTCATCAGGAAATAAGGATTTGTTTTGTTTTTCATGTGTGCTAAAACTCAGTCTAAGGTTGTTGGTTTTTTTAAAAAAACCGTTTAACCACATCAGTTAACAAACATGGATACATATGCTATAATGTTATTGTTTTAGTTAAATAAATTTAACTACATTTAAATTGTTATTAAGGAAATGATTATTTTTCTCCTTCCAATAAAGTACACCAGAAAAGTTGTCCAATTATCTGTCAATGTATTTCTAATAGTATAACCAAATCAGTAATTTTTGATCTAACTGTAAAAACTACTCTGAAAATTTATTATTCCAAAAATGAAACCTTCATCTGGTTGTAAATATTAAGAATATTGCCAGCAAGAATGAGTCTTTCTGTAAAAAAAAGAAAAAAAGATTTAAATCAAGTCTTACTGACTAGTGATTTAAATCGATTTGATTTAAATCAAATCCACCCTGAGGGAAAGTTTTCAGGTTGTCCAGCAAAAGACATTTGGAAAGAATGCCTTCACCCAGGGACTCCTCCCCAGACAATTCCCATCACTCCCTGGACATGCTGACCAAGGCTGAGGGATGGGACACCTGTGGCTCTCCAGATCTTGGGTGTACTACAGTTCCCATCAGCCCCAATCAGCTAGCCAATGGTTGGGGGTGATGGGAGTTGTACCAAAACAACACCAGAAGGACCACAGGGTTCTAGTACGGTCTTGATCGTGGCAATGACCTCTGGTAATCCCTGCATGGGGTGGTAGTGGTCTTGCCAGCTCATTTTAATCATTCAGAAATATATTGAACCCTATCCTTTCCAAAAGGTCAGTTTATTTTTCCTGTTTCAGTTGTCCCATGCCCCAAACCTCATCTGAGATTTTTTTAAAAATATAATTCTTCTATTTATTTATTTATTTATTTATTTATTACTTACAAAGTGCCTACAATTGCTGGGTGGTGAAAGCTCTGCTCTCAGGTTTATCATCTTAAAAAGCAAAGCCAATAAAAGGCCAAAAAAAAAAAGAGGAAAAAGAAAATGATTTAAATTGATGTTGGGTCTTTAGGTTAAAAACGGCGACAATCCTGATCAATGTTAATAGTAAATAAACTTTATTGTATTGTTCTATTTATTTAAAAAATATTTCTGGTCCTATGATCCCATGAAAGGTATCTGGTCCACCTTTCAACAACAATGTGTTCATAACGTAATGTAAAATAAACCCACTTATAAACATTATAAAACAATAAAGCTACATATGAGTAACAAATGTTAACAAACAGAACCTAGCTTTCAGTGCCTTATGAGGGTATGTGTGTGCAATCTTCACGTGCCTCCAAAGAGAGGCCAAAGAAGAACTATCCATAGGAGAGCATTATGTAACTCTGAGGCCACCACAAGAGAGGCCCTGCTTTTGGAAGATAAGTGACAATGTTACCTCCCTAGGCTGGGGTGCGAAACAGGTAGATGGGAATCTACTGCTATATCCCTAAGTAAAAAGGTAAAGGGACCCCTGACCATTAGGTCCAGTCGTGCCTGACTCTGGGGTTGCGGCGCTCATCTCACTTTGTTGGCCGAGGGAGCCAGCGTACACCTTCCGGGTCATGTGGCCAGCATGACTAAGCCGCTTCTGGCGAACCAGAGCAGTGCACGGAAACACCTGTTTACCTTCCTGCCAGAGCAGTACCTATTTATCTACTTGCACTTTGATGTGCTTTCGAACGGCTAGGTTGGCAGGAGCAGGGACCGAGCAACGGGAGCTCACCCCGTCGCGGGGATTCGAACTGCCAACCTTCTTATCGGCAAGTCCTAGGCTCTGTGGTTTAACCCACAGCGCCACCCACGTCCCATATCCCTAAGTAATCTGAAGTATATCAGGAAGCATTTCTGCCCAGCCCTTTAAAATGGCTGAAAAAAGAATGCTAGGGAGCAGGGGGACCAGGAGCAGATTTTTGCATCAATGGACCTGTAAGCTTGATTATGTGATGCTGAATTCCTGCTGCCGGTCTGTGCAGACAATACTAGATGAACCTGCTTCGTATTATCAGTAAGGCAGCTTCCTCTTATCAGTATCTGGTTGGCTACTGTGAGGAGGAGGGAGGTTATTGTATTGTTTTATTTTGAATTTTGTGGTTTCATTTTGTATTTTTACCTTGTGACCAGCCCTGTGATGTTCGGGTGAAGGATTGTATATAAATTGAATAAATAAACAAATAAGGACAGGATAAGGAACTAGATGCCACCCCGCCCCCATTGCCGGCTGCCCCCCCCCCCAACTTTCCTCCTTCCCATATGGTGAGGTGGGGTGGGGTGGGGAGGGGGAGTTTTATTTATTTACTTTAACCATTTTAGGCTGCTTTGATGGGCAAATGCCCGTCCAAGGCAACTCACACTTAAAATCAGCCCAAAGGGGGAAAGAAGAAATGTAACATTTTGAAAACTTAAAAGAGCAACAAACCCTGTTATCAAGGCCCGAAAAAAGAAAAAGTTCAACCAGACCACTACTCAGCTAAAGAACAGCTTATGAAATCTACATGTCCCACCCCGATTCAGCCCAGTTTCACTTAAATTACACCCCCTTCTAAAAATAGGTAAGGGGGAATTCCAAAATAGGTATGCGGAGCATCTTCTAAAATACCCCCTCACGGGGCCTGGGAACTTCCTAAGGCCTCCTAAAGCACCACTTTTTCTCTTCCCTTCAGTTACTTCCTCGACCCCCAACTTTTAAGGATGAGACCCGCCCCACCCTTATGCCCATTTCCCCCTTACCTAAGCAAGCCCGATCCCCACGTGTCGCTCCCGGAAGCAAAGGCTGATCTGGCGACTCTCACATGCCCGGGCAAGTCCTGCGCTTCGGACGCGCCCCCTACCTCTGATTGGCTGCCTTAGCCAAGACGGTGGGGAGGCTATCTGCATAAATGGGCGTGGCTTGGGATGGCTGCTGGCTGGCGCCTCGCTGTCCGCTAGCGAGGAAGTCGCCCTTCAATTCGGATGCCGCTTGCGTCCAGTTTTAAGAGGCTGGATTTTAACCCCCGCGTAATTGTGTACAGGGCAGCCTGATTGTAATCTTTATTTCTTTCCTCTTTGTCGGAAAGATCTCTGAGTCTAATGGGAGTTTAGGGTTGTAATCCTGGGAGTAGGACCCATAGGACTTCTCTGAGCAAAGGTGGAGAAGATCGCGCTGCTAGTCACCATGAAAATTGTGCATAGGATTCTAGCCGTGCATCCCAAGCTTGCCCTGGTTTACTTGGAAGTAAACCCCACTAAGTGCAATAGGGAGGTAAAGGTAAAGGGACCCCTGACCATTGGGTCTAGTCGTGGCCGACTCTGGGGTTGCAGCACTCATCTCGCTTTATTGGCCACATGGGTCATGTGGCCTGGCGAACCAGAGCAGCGCACGGAAATGCCATTTACCTTCCCGCTGGAGCGGTACCTATTTATCCTCTTAAACTTTGACATGCTTTCAAACTGCTAGGCTGGCAGGAGCAGGGACTGAGCAACGGGAGCTCACCCGGTCGCGGGGATTCGAACCGCTGACCTTCTGATCGGCAAGTCCTAGGCTCTGTGGTTTAACCCACAGCGCCACTCGCGTCCACAGTTCCACCCGCGTCTCTCATGTATTTAGCCTTGCAGCTTTCTCCCGCCATTATTCCCTTTCTTAAGAACTGGCTTAGGATAAACTACCCCCCGTCGGTTGGATTCAGACATTCCATATTTCCATTTGCATGCAAAAAGTTTTCAGGGAACGCTGGGCTTCTTTTCGATGTAACAAAGTTCTTACACTAGTGGCACTTTGTGCTTAGGCACTAGGTGTGCAGAACACCCAAGTATAGATTGTCCCACGTGACAACTGCACACGTGTATGTTTCACGGCATATGGGTGTACGGGGAAACTGATGGTTCAAGGCTTCCCAGAGAGTGTATGTGCTCACTCAAATAAGGTTGTCAACACTTTTGCCGGTCCTGCTCCTGTGTCTTAACAGAAGCCTTATGCATAGAAATGAAGCAACTTAAACTTGTTTCAACGGCATGCCTCAAGATGCTCGCATCCACACCATGGTGTTCCCCAAAGAATCTGCAGAACCAGATTTCGTTACAGGTGCTATGAATAATAACTCTGTGAGGGTTAAACTACACTTCCCAGGATTCTTTCGGAGAAGCCCTATGGTGTGGCTGTGACCTTAACTAGTTGCATTTCTCAGTGTCGCACTACTATAAGCAGCATGGCTGTTTAAATGTTTTTAAAAGTTGACAGTCTTTCATATAGCAAAATGCACGTGCATGCCTGCGAAAGACATAAATTTAGACAATCATAATTACATAAGGACATGGAAAGAGATTAAAAGAGAAATATTAAAATGGGACAGATTGAAGCTCTCATTTTGGGGGAGAATCTCCACAATTAAAATGAATGTGCTGCCCAAAATATTGTTCCTATTTCAGGCGATCCTAGTGATAGGCGGGGCAGGTTGCTTCAAAGAATGGAAGAGAGACTTATCAAACTACATCTGGCAAAAGAATAAAACATAAGTTACTTATAGACATTAAAGAAAGAGGAGGTTTTGCCCTGCCAGATTGAAGATCTATTATGAGGCATCATGTCTATGCTGGTTAAAAGAATGGTTAGTTCTGCAAAATACGGAACTATTTGATTTGGAAGGATGGGGCAACAGATTTGGGTGGTGCACCTATTTATGCTATGGAAAGGTGAAGGTTCACAGGGGCTTTTTGAACCATATAATAAGGAAAGCACTATACGCAGTATGGGATAAATACATACAGGAAAACCCCTGGTGGCTTTCACCATTAGAAGCCATTTCAGTAAAGAAAAAAAATGTGGAAAAGAATTGGGCAACATATAAAGCATTATTGGAAGAGGAGGCAAATCAATTGAAGTTAAAGAAATTTGAAGAAATTTGGCATTATGTGACAGACTGGCTGCAATATTAGCAATTGAATGAAACCTTTAAATTAGATAAGGAAAATCGATTCACAACAGAAAATTCAAAGCTAGAAAAATAATTAATACAAAATAGAAGCAAAGTGTTATCCAAAATGTATAGATTATTACTTGATTGGGAAGTAAAAGTTGAAGAGGTAAAAGAAGTCATGATTAAATGGGCAAATGATTTTGGGCATATGATACAGATGGACGCATGGGAAAATTTGTGGATCAGAGATTTAAAATTTATGGCGTGCTACACACTAAACGAAAGTATTATGAATATGTTTTACAGGTGGTATTTATCACCTAGTAAACTAGCAAAGGTGTACAAAACAAACTCAAATAAATGTTGGAGGTGTAAGCAGGTAGAAGGAACAATGTTACATATGTGGTGGGGATGTAAGAAAGTTAAAAACTTTTGGGATAGTATTTATGAAGAATTGAAAAAAAAAGTTCAAACAAACTTTCGTCAAAAAGCTGAAGCATTTCTCATGGGTTTACTATCATCAGATACCCCAAGCTATAAGGATATTTTTATATGCCTCTACAGCAGCAAGAATACTTATCGCCAAAAAATGGAAGAGGGAAGAGATTCCAACAAAGGAAGAGTGGCAAAGAAAGTTATTTGAATACATGGAGCTGGCTAAAATGACAGAAATAATTAGGAAAAGAACAAGCCAAAGGTTCGGTAAGGACTGGGAGTGTTATAAAAATCACCTAGAAAAACATTGTTCTCAAATAAAACCTTCACTATGCTTTGATTAATTTTTGCAAAAGACAAAACAGTTATCATAATTAAATAAGTTAATACCAAGAAATGAAAAACATATAAAGAAGGCAGTTAAGGAAAGAAAAGAATGACTCAAATTGAGGTGATGGACGGAAGTCAACTCAAAAGACTACAGAGTGCTTAGGTTTGATAATTCAGAGTAATAATCATGGGTAATTGGTGGAGGGGAAGATATTTAGTTATTATGTATTTTTATGTATTCATTTTTAGTCTTAGTTTGAACTTTGGATGGAAACTTTCTATGGATGTACGTAAAGCAAAACAATAAAAATTATTAACAAAAACGAAATGCTCGTGCATGCAATAATAACTTAGGGTGACTCACACCTTTTCCTTTGTGGAAGTGGTTTGCCTGAATACGCAAAGCACATCCTGTGATAATGTAGGAATATTACCAGGGAGACAAGGGATCACCACTCAGCTGTGAAGCTCACTGGGTGACCTTGGGCCAGCCACTGTCTCTCAGCCTAACCTACCTCACAGGTTGTTGTGAGGATTAAAATGGGGAGCTTGGAGGAAAACAATGGAATTACATATAAACAAATGAATAGTGGCCCTGGGACAGGGTGCAATGTCAGAAGAGTGGAAAACTTGCCGAAAATATTTCACGAGACTAACCCTTTTCTATCTGTAAACTAAGATAAAAGTGCTGTAAGTCCAGTTCTGCCATTTTAGACTTTGAGGGCAAGGTTGTTCGTGTATGTGCACATTCAGGCTGATGTGTGTGTTATTTTCAATGTTTACACCTACCCCTATTGGGTATATTCAGAAGTAAATTGCAAATATTTAATAACAGTAGTTTAACAGGGCAATCCTAGACATGTTTACTCAGTATGAAAAGACCCACTTTGTTTAATGGGTAAAGGGACCCCTGACCATTAGGTCCAGTCATGGCCGACTCTGGGGTTGTGGCGCGCATCTCGCTTTATTGGCCGAGGGAACCGGCGTACAGCTTCCGGGTCATGTGGCCAGCAAGACTAAGCCACTTCTGGCAAACCGGAGCAGAGCATGGAAACGCTGTTTACCTTCCCGCCGGAGTGGTACCTATTTATCTACTTGCACTTTGACATGCTTTCGAACTGCTAGGTTGGCAGGAGCAGGGGCCGAGCAACAGGAGCTCACCCCGTCACAGGGATTTGAACTGCCAACCTTCTGATTGGCAAGTCCTAGGCTCTGTGGTTTAACCCACAGCACCACCTGTGTCCCTTTGTTTAATGGGACTTACTCCCAAAGAAGTGTGTAAAGAGCTGTAGCTTTAAGAGCCTTTGCTGCATTTACTGTTTTTCTGCAGAGAGTCAGTGGGGGATCCAAGATGAACTTGTTGTGGGATAGGTGTTGCTCATGCATGCTCCTCCCCCACAATGCCATCCTGCATTCAACCCTTTAATATGGATTCTGGGGAAATCCAATAAGTAAAAACAGAAAACAAAACAGTTGCCAACAATGTATTTGCAATATCTGAACAATTTGTTCGCAAATTAATCCTCCCTCTCCCACCCTCCCTAAATCAGGGGTGGGCAGGCTTGGGGGAGGATCCCAGAACAACTAATAAACTGGAATGCAGCACAGAAGCTCCAGTATAAACCCATTGCTAATACATTAATATTGTGTCAATGCAGAATACACAAGTTAGGGGGTGGCCCTGCATTTCCCACAACTACAGTCAACAACTTGTTTTTCTAGGAAAAGCTCCTGCTGTTCTTAAGAGCAGCCTGATGTGCAAGGAATTAAAGAGGGAAAGTTTTTCCAGGCATGAAACTCAACAGTGTTGGGAAGAATGTCACCTCCTTAAATTCCTCATACAGTGGTACCTCAGGTTAAGAACTTAATTCGTTCTGGAGGTCCGTTCTTAACCTGAAACTGTTCTTAACCTGAGGTACCACTTTAGCTAATGGGGCCTCCCGCTGCCGCACAATTTCTGTTCTCATCCTGAAGCAATTTCTTAACCCGAGGTACAATTTCTGGGTTAGTGGAGTCTGTAACCTGAAGCATCTGGAACATGAAGCATCTGTAACCCGAGGTACCACTGTATTGGGTTTGCTAATGAAGACATATAAGAGCAGGGCCAGTAAAAACATAAGCTCTTTCCCAGCTCTACCTGGATGGTGATGCTATATCAGGGAGCTACAGCTCTTTCCCCAACCTTAACTAGGAGAGAAAAGAAAAGGGGGGCAGGGAATAGCTTTAACTAACAAAGGCAGTGTCTTCTTGGCCCTTTAACAGAATCTGTGTGTTTGCTCAAACTCCTGAGCACATGGTTTCAGCACACAGCATGCTCTCCCTCTCTGGAAGGGCTTTTCATTAGCAGCTCTGTCTGCATCAGAAGGGTTGGAAATTGGTTGCGATGGTGCGTGAGCTCTTCCTGTCTCTTCCTGCCTTCTTGGTCCCCCAGCAGAGGGCAGTTTCTGGATGCTCCAGGCCACATGCACAGACTTTGCATTAAAGCCAACGCCCCTGCCCTGTGGCTTGGCTAGCGGGGGACAGAGGCAGGATAGTCTGACGGATGGCTTCCGCCAGCTCTTCAAAGGGAAGAACCCCGGCAAATTAGTCTGATGGCTTGCTGTTCCCCATCTTGCCCTGCACAGGACATGTCTGTCTCAATGCTGAGAAGATCCAACTTTCAAGTTAGACAACAGCTCGCTGTCTCTGATCCCCCTCGCTTCCTGTACCCCCTCAAGCTAAGGACTGCTGGTCTATGGATTCAGGCTCAGGGAAATCTATTATTTTGTGTTTCATCTATTTCTCACCAAAGGAGGGGTTTTTTTTGGGGGGGGGGGCAATTTCAGAATACAGATTTCTTGTCTGAAAAGGGACGCTTCTGGCCTGATTATCATTTTCCAAAGCAACTACTCTATTCCGAACTTAAAAATGGAAAGCGTAATGCTGGTGGTCAACAAAAGAGGTTTAAAGACTGTCTCAAGGCAAATTTTTAAAAATGTAGTATAAACACCAACAACTGGGAAACACTTGCCTGCGAGCGCTCCAACTGGAGAACAACCTTTACCAAAGGTGTCATGGGCTTTGAAGACACTCGAACTCAGGACGCAAGGGAGAAATGTGCTAAGAGGAAGGCACGCTTGGCAAATGCACACTGTGATCAACTCCTGCCCGGAAACCAATGTCCCCACTGTGGAAGGACCTGTGGATCCAGAATTGGCCTCCACAGTCACTTACGGACTCATTGTTAAAACCGTGTTTATGGAAGACAATCTTACTCGGCTATGAGTGATCTCCAAAGAAGAAGAAGAAGAAGAATTTTTTATTCCCTTAAATTTCCACCCCCTCCTCCTTCCCATTAGAGAGCCCAGGACAATAACAACAACAAAAAACCCACCCACAACAAAAAAACCCATAAGTGAATGCATTTTAAATATTTTAAAAATGCAAACAAGTCACATATTCTCACAGCTAAAAAGTTGGCCAGGGATAGTCTATCTCTGCCAACAAATACCAGGGGTGAGCAGGAATGTTTTAAATTTTCTCCTGAATGTTAATATTAGGAGAAACGGATGCACCTCACCACGGGGAGCATTCCACAAATGGGGAGCCGCCACCACAAAGTCCCCGTCACAGGCGAGCAACAACCAGGTGGCATTACCAACAGCATGTTAAAAACATAGGACTCTTGCTTTATGCAGAGTCAGGCCACTAGTCTACGTAGCTCATTCTTTCCTGCACCAGGGTAGGGAACTGTTGGCCTGCGTGTAGCCCATAACACAGGCAGCTTGTGGGCTGGGTGCAGTCCAGCAAGCTTTCAAGTTGTACCCCTAGCCACTCCTCTCAGGCTCCGCCTCTCTTCTCAGCTCCACCTCTTCTCAGAATGACTCCACCCCCTCTTGCACCCATCGGCAGTGGCTTTCCAGGGTTCCAGGCAGAGAAGTTTGTCCCATTCCTACTGGGAGATGATTGGTACGGAACACAGCACCATCTGCATTCAAAGCATTTACTCTCCTATGGAGCTACAGCCCTTCCTTATGGCAAACCATCGCCTCCTTCATCATTCGTTCTATTATTATTTAAGAGAGCTAGCTAAGGTCACAAATGAAATGGTTCTTAGCTGCAACAGCATCTTCTTTTCTGCTGCCTGTTGTCTCTTCCCCTCCCACCTGGTCACTCCTCATTAATTTTGGAAGCTTTCCATTGTGCCAAAATTCTCAACCTGTGTCCTCCCTCTGTCCCCCAACCCCCTGGAAGTCCAGCGTGGAGAAGAGGAGAGATGTTAATTTGCACTTTTCCTCTTGTGCAAATAAGATTTCTAATACGGACCAGACACCTGCTGGTTTCTTTGGCAGTGGGGATGATAGGAGGCAGGGCAGTTGCAAAAGACGGTGAGGAGCGGTATCAGATTGCTTTCTCCTCTCTGCTCAGACAAGTGGAGTTGAGATGGAGAGAGGGGAAGAGATCACAGATAGACCAGGGAAGGTGGATGTGCTTCTGGAAAAGGAGGAGGCTGGGAGATACATGATAACTCTTTTATTTCTCTCTCTGAGAATTGAAAGTAAGGCCTTGGTTGCTTGTGCTGTGTAGATGAATCTATATTTTTGTGTGTGGATGTGCATGTAATTTAGTAAACACATTAGTTAATATTTTTTTTACAAGAATAGCTCAAAGTGATTTACAACAAAATAGAACACATGCTTTAAAACCAGCAAAAAACAAAACAAAATCTAAAGCTCTTTAGATATATTAATATAGTTAAAGATAATTAAATTGCTGGCTGCTCAAAACACAGCTACACAATGCAGTGTCTACATAAAGAAATGTCTGAAAGTCAAAAGTGAGGATGCCTCTGATGCAACTCTTCTGCAAGAGTGTTTTCACAGCATGGGGCTGGTGTCCCTAAATGCCTGACTTCTAGTGGAAGCCATTTGGGCCTCTGTAACACAGTGGTCCTCCAGATGATCTCAGTGCTCAGCAGGCAACCAAGCTCTTAGCAGAAGTAGATGGGTGAGGACCGCCATTTTAATTTCCCACAAAGCCCCAGTGTGATGCTACATCAGGGGCATTGTGGGAAATTAAAATGGCAGTTAGACGCAGCTGCCTGGTGCTGCTCTGACACTGGCTGGCTGGTGTGTGTGGGGGGGGAAGAGACCTAAGAAAGGCATCAATGCTGCTGCGTCCTGTCAGGGTCTGGCCTCAGGCAGCTGTCCAAGCGTGCTTATTTCGCTAGTGAGTTGGTTCCTACTACTTCAGCGTGCACTATTGCAAGGATAGACAACCTCAGGTTCAGGAGCCCTGTGGCCCTCCAGACCTCTGCCTGGCCCTTGGGATTCTCTCCAGACCACACCCCTTTTCTGTGATGTCATCTCCCAAGGCCACGCCCTCCCTGCTGCACAGCATCCCTGTTTGTTTCTGCTTAGCTTGAATGTGTCCTTGAACTCTAATGCACCCAACTTGCCTGAAGGGAAGGGAAGAAAGGAGTGTGTGGATAGAAATACTAGCCAAAAAATTACATTGATCGCTTTGCCCCCTTTTCCTTCTGGCTCTGCCCAACACTGGCATGTGGCCTCCAGAAGATTGCCTAGATGGGAAGGTGGCCCTCGAAAAAGGGTTCCCCATCCCTGCAGCTATTGGCTTAGCTGCTAACTCACCTGGCACTGAATTCTGGCGCCGTCCTGTTCTACAGAAACTTTTGGTGAGAGCTGCCAACGTTTCCTCCTTTGGGCAGGCGGCAAAATGCATTTCGGACCTGCCCTCTCATTGCTTTCCTCTCAAGCGCTCACAAAAGCAACGACGGAGGTGATCAGAAACAAGAGGAACAGGAGGTGACTCAGCATCCTTCATGCATCTGCTGTGCATCCCGCATGAATACTGTGTGCAAAGACGACGATGGAAAGCTTAACGGGACCATAGACAGAGTTGAGGGGTTTCTGTGACATCACCGAAGCAGAAGCCAGGCTTCGTAAGGCAGACTGTGACTTGTTGTCATGAGATAAAGAACAACAAAATCACTAGTCTTCCATAAGGAGCAGGGCAAGTGTGTTTCATGTGGGATTCATTCCCCACAATGCTGAGTCCTCAGCGTCTCAGATCTTCAAGTTCAGCAGACGAGGCCAAACTGGTGGTTCCTGTGCAGAATGATGTGCACCTAGTGCCTGGGCTTCTGGCATGACCTTTTCAGTAGTGGCACCACATGTGTGAAATACTCTAACCACACCATCTTATTTTTTTATTTTTATTTTAAGAAAAAAGATCAAGACACACCTCCTTCCAGGAAGCTTTCAGATTACGAATCAGCGCCTGAAATAATATATGAACAATTTGATGTCGTTGCTTATTATGAATTGTATTGACATAACTGTTTTTTGACTTTTGCATTTTAGGGATGTTTTGTTATGTTACATGTATGTTACATTGGGTTTTTTATGGTGTAAACTACCCTTTGGGTGAAGAGTGGTATAAGCATTTCTTTGTAAATAGAACAATGCCCAACAGAAATGCAAGATGCCCAGTCAGTAGCAAAACCATCCATACTAGGAAGACTGAAGTTGGATTAGACCCACCTGTAATACCATCAGTTCTTCCTTTTCCCCCTTTTCTCTTGAGGAATGTGATGGGGAAGAAAAGGTTCTTACACCAAGGAACTCCAGGCTCCAGCAAGAGTCACTTATGTAGCACCAAAAAAGAGAAAATGTATTATCATCAATAACAGAAAAGTCAGATTTGCATGAAATTTGTCAAACATGATGGATGGATGGATGGATGGACCTTTGGAAAAATAACTATAACTTAAAGCAGAAATGCAGTACGTCTTGTTGGGAAGCAACAGCAGAAATCATTCTGTGCATAACTAAAGGGTCAGTTCTGTAAGTGTTGCTGGTGAATTCTGTCTGCATCTAGCAAAAGGCATGAATAGATTCTCAGAGTGTGCCAACTGCACACATGGAAGCTATCTCCACACAACCAGGAACATGGCAGAAAGTGGGGTCTTCCAATTACCTATATTATGGAAGCTACATGTGTCCAATTGTATGCATATTTATTTCACATTTAGCTTACCTTTCCTTTTTATTTCATTCTTTCAACAATCTTGTGCAGTAGATGATAGTAACTGCCTCAAGGTAACCTAGTATAAGGGTAGAGGGAGCGGGTGGCACTCTGGTCTAGACTCTAAACCACTAAGACTCTTGGACTTGCCGATTGGAAGGTCGGTGGTTCGAATCCCCACAACTGGATGAGCTCCCGTTGCTCAGTACCAGCTCCTGCCAACGTAGCAGTTCGAAAGCACACCAGTGCAAGTAGATAAATAGGTACCGCTGCAGCGGGAAGGTAAACAGCGTTTCTGTGCGCTCTGGTTTTTGTCATGATGTCCTGTTGTGCCAGAAGAGGTTTAGTCATGCTGGCCATATGACCCAGAAGACTGTCTATGGACAAATGCCAGCTCCCTCAGCCTGAAGCGAGATGAGCACCACACCTCATAATTGCCTTTGATTGGATTTAACCGTCCAGGGATCCTTTACCTTTTATCTTACCTAATCTAGTGTGCTTCAGTGGTTGAATGGCCAATAACCCGCCCTCCCATTCCAGCATCAGGCTGGCTCTACCATTAGGAATAGTGAGGCAGCTGCCTCAGGTGGCTGATTTTGAGCATCATGAAAAGCAGCATATTGCTTTTTATATATATATAAAATATTACTGTATTTTTACTGCCAGGTTGGTACTTGTGGGATTTTCTATGTGCTTTTTGTGCCAATATAACATGGCCAGTCTGTATCTCGACTGGAGGAGGGGAAACATTTGTTGCTCTGCCTCTGGTCCCCACATGTCTTGGGCCAACATTCTGACTACTCATCACTGGGTCCGCAGCAAGGAGCCTGGACACGATTCTGCTCCCCACTACACACATTCACAGGAATCAGAATCCAAAAATTATCTTAACACCCTCTCCAGAAATTAGGTGTGTGGAGGCCGTATCAAAATGAATATTAACCCTCTGTTTGAACTTACTTTAAGCATTTGCCATATGCACAAAAACAACATCACAGCACAAAGCCCTCTTCATGGGTGGATTATGTGTACATTATCCACAAGACTTGGGGAATGTGCACAACAACCAGTTGTTATATACATTAATTTATCAGCTTACATTTCCCTCATATTTGCCACCTTTCCATAGGCATGGATCAATCTCATTTCTACTCCGTGTCAATTTCCTATGTATTTATTCATCCTGTTTCTGCATTAATCACTTTCCTCCCAAAAAAATGCACATGAAAATTTTAATTGAATGTCCATACTTCTAAATATATCTGAAAATGCACATTTCAATGCATTTTTGTACCTTTTGGGAGTTGAGAACTGCATTGCAAAATTTGGAGAACGGCAAAATCTGAAAGAGAATTGCATTCCAATCGGCATGTTGGTGCAGAAATGCTAATCAGCTCATTTCCCATCAGATTTCTAATGTATTTCCACTCCTGATGCCCAAAGAGGTTTGCAATAAACTCTCAAATCTGGATTTTTCTGCCGATCTCTTATAGGCCTCAGGGCCGTATCCACTGTTCTCCATCTGCTAGTGCAAGAGCCCCCGCAGAGTTTGAAGATTGCGCAACAAAGTGATCCAATCTAACAGTTATGCTAGCAGAAGCTTGTTGCACAACAGCTGATTTTTGTTGTACAATCTGTTGCACAACGATCTTCGGTAATGTACTTCTATTTTCCCTTTTGCAACAGCTGATCCTCGTTGTGCAATCTGTTGCACAACGATCTTCTGCGATGTACTTGCCTTTTCCCTTGCGCAAGAAATTTCTGCCAGTGCCACAAGCTAAGTGGCTCAAAATTGGCCCTGAATTGGATACAACTGTCAACATTTAATGCATTTTCTCTCACTCTCCCACCATTTCAATCACCAAAAGTTCCCACCTTTTTGAAATTTGACTGTGGTCCAATAGTTTGGAAACTCTGCGACTTGCCTATTTTTGCCACCTAAAGGTGTGTTTATTCTTTTGAAGGGAGCAATTGTCTTCAAACCATAATTTCACCCCACCCCACCCCCAATTTCATGGCTATAAAATCTCTTCCCTGACAGCCACCACCTCGAAAAAATCCAAGCATTTTCCTTCCCTTGCAGCCCTAGTACTAAGCTAATTAATCTTCCATTAATGAGTCTTTTAAAAAACGTTTCACAATAGCTTCCTAGGAGGCCACTGAAGGTCATTCTTTTCTATAGGAAAGCTCTAATCTTGCTTATTATGCATGGCAAAACCACAGGGAGGTAATTATCCCTGTTCCGTTTGTTGGGGGATCTTAAGCCCTGGGTTGTTCTGCCAAATTGTTGTTTGGAAGGAGCGTTCTGGCTGTGAAATAAGACACTGTCCACTGAAAATGAAGTGAATGTAGAGACCCCCAGAATGGAAGCATGATCAGCATCAACAGAATTGCAGAAGATCGTCGATGCAAACAAATTGGGTTCAGGGGCCTAGAGCACGAGTCCTCTGCTTCCTAAGCCACCAAACCTACTGGTAGGAGAAGTGGGGCATAAGCAGCTTGAGCCAGCACACTAACACCACAACCCAGAATCCTTCTGGGTCACAGAGATCAGGTGACCCTAGGAAGCCAATCTTGGGCCACTGCTTAAGTCCTTGACGTCCCCCAATCCCGAATGTGCCACTTTAAATTTACTCCATCCAACCAAGTGGCTTTGGACATGCCATAGGCTGCATCTATACCAGACATTTAAAGGTAAAAAAATAAAGGACCCCTGGATGGTCAAGTCCAGTCAAAGGCGACTATGGGGTTGCAGCACTCATCTCACTTTCAGGATGAGGGAGCCAGCATTTGTCCACAGACAGCTTTCTGGGTCCTGTGGCCAGCATGACTAAACTGCTTCTGGCGCAACAGGACACCATAACGGAAACCAGAGCACACAGAAACATCGTTTAGCTTCCCACCGCAGTGGTACCTATTTATCTACTTGCGCTGTTGTGCTTGCAAACTGCTAGGTTGGCAGAAGCTGGGACAGAGCAATGGGAGCTCACTCCGTCGTGGGGATTCGAACCGTCGACCTTCTGATCAGCAAGCCCAAGAGGCTCAGTGGTTTAGACCACAGCGCCACCTGCATCCTACCATACATTTAAAGCACTATGGCAGTACTTTAAACTGCCATGGCTCCTCTGCAAAGAATCCTGGGAGCTGTAGTTTGTTAAGAGTGCTGAGAGATACTAGGAGCCCCTCTCTGAACTACAGTTTCCGGAGTGGCTTAACCACCAATCCCTCTTTCCCAGGGAGGTTTCCCAGGGAGTGGTCTACAGAGTCACACTGCCTCCGACAGAGAAGGAAGAACAGACTTCATGGCTAGCTATGTGCAGACCATGCAGTCTGTCCTGCACCCCATAACTAGACAGCTGCCCTTAGGTATTGTGGGGTTAAGGTTACAATTCATCTGCCAGTCCAGTCTGCTTCTGTATGCGGAGCTCACGACAGGGGGAAGCAACGTATTTTAATTCAGGCAAAAAATGCCACCGCCCAATGTGAGCAGAGGTAGCATTTTGTTCTGGGTGGGTTAGACATACAAATAAGTAATAACACACACACACACACACCACTCCCTAGGTGTAACAGATTTGCTTGCTGCTACAAAGGAAATGAATTTGTACATATTTATACATTTTTTTATAAGCAAACATTTAAATGTTTAAATAGTTGAAAATCAAATATTTAAATATTTGACCCAGAAACTGGAGATAATTTGAATCCTTACTTAAGGAAAATGGATATTCTCTAACAGCAATATTAAAAGGTTTTGTATTAAGTTATAGGAATATTGAAATGTTTATATAAGAGGATGTGCAGCATTATATAATATTCTTATTAATATTTGCAGTGCCTTTTTCTAAAAAAAATGTTTAGGGGTACTCTCGTTTTGACTCAAGAAAATCACCATTTTATAGTTCAAATCGGGAAAAATAAGTACAGTAAATGGACAAAAGTACAAAGATTCACAAAATGTTTAGGGGTATGCGTCCCCCCAGAAAAAA